ACGGGTTGGTTTTTATAAACGGGTCGAGTCCGAGTACATCCTCAAACCCGACCCGATTCGACCCTTTCGGAACACTAATCGGATCTGTTAGATCTTAATTCTCAACGGAATGATAGCCTTTAATTATTTAATAATTAGTATATATATTAAAATTTTTTAAATTCAAATGTTAACAGATGTAAAATAAAACCTCGTGATTAAATAAGATCAATGATAATTTATCACGAATGACTTGATATTGATTTGTTTGAAGAATTCATACGTGCATCCATAAAATGATACACCTAATATCTGTATATCCATTATCATTAGAAGTAATTAGTAGTGATTCGCTTGTAGATCTCTTAAGTTTGCAATGCTTTTCATCAGGACATTTAAGATCATATTTCGTTGTTCTTGAGATAAATATGTATAGTAATTATTTGTTATTATCCACACCTTTAAAACCTGTAAGTTTCCAAAACAATTTGTGAGAAATGAAATCTTTTGGTTTACAATACTACGATATATTAAATAGTTAATCATAAAAGCATTTACGTTTGAAAATAAATAGTTTAAATTATTCTGGATAGATATCTTATCCTTGACAACTAGATTCATGGTCATTGCCGGCCAGGGGCCAGCCTTAATATTTTATTTAATTTTTAATTTAGTTTGATAATAGCGCGCAATGTTTTTTTGATTTTAATTTTGATTTTTTCAATTATTTTTTTAATGCTTAACTTTTTATTATTGTGATTTTTTTTTGATTTTGATTTTTGGATTTCGTTCTTTTTTTTATTTATTTTAATATTTTTTCTTTTATTTTTTTTTCTTTTTTATTTCCCCTGGTCTTTTTTATTTTTTTATTTTTATATCGCGATTGCAATTTTTTATTTGTATTTTTTTCTAATTATTGGCAATTTCTTTTTCAAATTGAATGGTATGCTGACTAAAATTCTTTTTTAATTGATTATTGATTTTATTTTAGGTTAGATCGGTTCCTTCCCTATCTTAGGCTAAAATTTTAAAAAGGAACCCGGTTCGTCACAAAGGTAATTTTTTTTTTTTTGATTATTGATTTTTTCTTTCTTATTTTGATAATTAGTTCTGATTACCATTTATTTGATTGTTTTATTTTTTTTTCTTAAGCGAGATCAGACTGAATTTCTGAAGAATTTTTGATCAGTGGCGAAAACAGGTGACTAAAATTATTTATTTAATGCATTATTCTTTTATTTTATTATTTCCACTATTATTTTTAGGAACGGTTATAAAATGTAATCACCTGACACCAACAACTATATGGTATGAACTGTATATAATGTTAAAAAAAAAATAATGGTGATCACAAAATTTGGTAAGTGAATCATATGATTATGCAACGTTGCTTTGTTGATAGATTGAAGGTATACAGTTTTTATTTTACAAATTGCAGATAAATAGAGATAATTATAATACAAAATATATAA